AAGACTTTTGTCTCTGTTCAGTTTCATCTCTTTCTTCCCTCCTTCCTTTTCCTTGCTTTCTTCCTCCCTCCCTCTCATCCTCCTTCCTTCCTGCTTTCCTTTCCTCAGTTTGGTTCCATTCTGCAGTGCTATTTTGAATGTTCATGCTTAGTGTTCACTTTTTGCAACTGTTAATGCCTCTGTCTTCTCTACACATCACTGCAGGGCACTGTTAGGTTTCCAGCCCTCAGACACACCACCAAAGACATCTTCCAAGGGTCATATTACTCCATTAATCAGTACAGTTCACATCATTGTTCAGCTAGCTCTAAATTTATCTAACTGTATGTCAGCTTAGCCACATTTCTGTGCCCTGACCCCAATGATATCATTAGAAAGTGTCAAACGTACTTATTCATTTTTGCCTTGCCAGATGGTTTTTTCACGCAAGCTCCTCGACCTTGCAAATAATGTAACTTCCTTTAGTAATTTTTACTTACTTTTCCAGTAAATATTTTCCATCATTAACTTGTTCTAAAGGGTTCTGCAATCTTTTCAGTTCTTCCTGTGAAAAAGAAAAAAGTATCTTACAAATGGACCCCGTGTATTTATGGACAACAACACTGGAGTGCAATTGTTAGCAAAATCGGGAGAACACACTTTTAACAGTTCTGCACTTTGTGATGGATAAGCATCTAAACACACAATACAATTTGATCATTGATCAAATAATACTGCCACTCAGATTGTGTGCTTTCTATAATCACTGAAGAAATGCTTCCTATTATTTCCCCAGAGTGGGGCTATGTTTCTAGGGATCCACCAACACTCTTCCCAAGTTTACTCTGTCAATAGCATCCCATGTTTGCTGGTTGCCGGGTGGGGACTCTGATGAGCAAGTGCCGGGTCTGGTGATCCAGCAACCATTCTCTCTCATGTCTTGGCAACTGTTCCCATCTCTTTCCCTGTACCCAAGTGCTCAGGTGCACCCAAATGCTTGCACACACACACATACACACCCCTCCCCGAATCTCAGGCACACATACGCACACACACATCCCCCCTGAATCTCAGGCACGCGCACACACACACACACACACCTGAGTGTCAGGTATGCACACACACACATTCCTCCCCTGAATCTCAGGCGCACACACACACACACACACACCTTGAATCTCAGGTGTACACACACCACACATTCCTCCCCTGAATCTCAGGCGCACACACACACACACACACACCTTGAATCTCAGGTGTACACACACAGCCCTCCTGAATCTCAGGGACACACACACATCTCCCCTTAATCTCAGGTGTGCACACATACACACACACACACTCCTCCCCTGAATCTCAGGCACACACACACATCTCCCCTTAATCTAAGGCACATGCACACACACATATACACACACACCTTGAATCTCAGGCACACACACACACACATCCCTCCTGAATTTCAGGGACACACACACACATTCCCCCTGAATCTCAGGCATGCACACACACACACACATTGAATCTCAGGCACATACACACACATCTCCCCTGAATCTCAGGTGTGCACACATACACACACACACACTCCTCCTCTGAATCTCAGACACACACACACACACACATCCCCCTGAATATCAGGCAAACACACACTCTTCCCATGAATCTCAGGCACACACACACACACACACACACACACTCTTCCCTTGAATCTCAGGCACACACACACACTCTTCCCTTGAATCTCAGGCAAACACACACACACACAGCCTCTGTAATCCCACTCCGCCAGCCTCAGTGATTGGAGCAGGGGTGGCATGTGACATACGTTGGTCCAGCTTCCTGATGAGAACGCTTGTCTCCAGTCTTCTCAAAAAAAGAAGGGCCACAGAACTCAGCTCCTGGGACACCACACTGACCAAGGTCACACCACGTGCCTCACCACCACAAGTTACTGGAAGGACCAGTTCCAAGAAGAAGCCTCAATTAGTGCTCATTCGACCCCAAAAGGCCATCAAAACTGTTCCTGTGTGCTTATAAGCTACCAGATGCCCGAGTCTCCTAGCATCCCCAGTACCCAGTCTCCTTCGTCGCATACCGCACTGTACCTTCCAGAAGCTGACCCAACCGGCCGCCTGTCCCCAACCCCTCCAGTCTTCCCACCGAACCCTCTGGAATTCACAGTCTGTCGTCAGCAAAACCCTCAGTCTCCTCAGCCTTTGACGACATTCCCTTAATTATCTTGTTCTAACTGAACCCTGGCAACTACATTTTTGTTAGAGCAAGAATATCAAAGAAATGTATAGAAAAGAGGTTTAATATAGAGAGGGTTTTGCTGATGACAAACTTGGCTATGTCCCTGAACACACATCCACTGCAGACCTCTTAAGAGGTGACCAGCTCTTCCCCACATGCTACACACTACAAAGTCTGGAGGAGAGATAGAGACCCTTCTTGCCTCTCATTGCTGTTTTCAGACCCTCCCCACTCCCTACAAAACCTCAGCTCCACTGAAAACATGCCAGCAGCCTGCCCCACCCACCATCCATGGTAAAACCCTCCTCCTGATCACTTGACTCATCCAAGAAGCATTTGCTCCTGGCCCTCTGCTCATTTTGCCATCATTCCTGATGATTTCAACATTCACGTGGTTGACCCAGTCAACCCCTGGCCTCTTTCCTTGACCTCCTTCCTTCTCAGGATTTGTGTTCTGTCTCTATTCTCTTATCCACTCCCACTGTCAAACTCTAGACCTTGCCACTACCAATAGTTAGGCAACCTCCCAAACCAAGATTTCAAAACCACACTCTGACCACCACCTCTTATCCACTGCACCCCTCCAGCAATTCTCTGATCCTATTAGGGCCTCCAATCCATGACCTGACCACGTTTTCACCGTCGCTTGCCTCCCTCCTATCCTAGAGTCTCTCCTACTTGGCTTAGATTCTACAATCTTTTCTTATAGCCACTCCTGTGGAGTCCTGGTGGCGCATGGTTAAGCGTTTGGCTGCTAACCAAAAGGTCAGCAGTTCGAATCCACCAGCTGCTCCTTGAAAATCCAATGGGGCAGTTCTACTCTGTTGTCCTATAGGGTTGCTATGAGTCGGAATCGATTCAACCGCAATGGGTTATGCATGCATATCTTTGCGAAGTCTCAACTCCCTTGCCCTCTATCCTGCCATTATTCTTGCCTGGAAAAATCCTAAAACCAACCTCCTGCCACTGTGCATTTGCACCAAAGAAAAACAAAAAATCACGCTGACTTGTTTCCTTTTAAATTCATGACAATATAAAGTATGTTCTTACCTCTCACCTATGACGGAAAATCCTACTACAGTCTATAGCGCATTCACTCCCATGCTCTCTGAGACTGCTACTTCACATTCCTTCTGTCTCTTCAAACCTCCAACACTGCCTCCACCCTTCTCATGCTCAGGCAATGACTCTGCCTCCTGCTGTATCAGAAGAGAATTACTTTATCTTCCACCCCTAAATTTACAAACACATTTGCTTCTGTGCCTACATACTGGTCTTCCCTCCTGTTGTCATGGGTAAACTGTCCCTGCATCCATCTACCTCCACTTACAGACAGAATCTCACTCCTCCTTGCTTACACAAAGACGTGGGCCCTGCAATCATCCCTTCTTCTCCCGACCCGTCTATTTCTCCACATAGCCTGGATCATTTGTATCCACGTACAAACATCCAGTGATAACTCACCTACTAAACCCTCAACAGTATTAGACAGAGTCAACCACCTCTTCTTTCTTAGAACAAGTTCTTCACCTGGCCTTCAGAACTACCTCCCCTTGGTTCTCCTCCTCTGCTATTGCAGAATTCTCCAGTCTCTTCTGGATTGTTCTCATCCTCCCAATAGCTAAACGCTGGTGTGCTCCAGGAATCTGTCCTCTTCTCTATCCTCACTCAGGAGATCCCATCCAGTCCCAGGGCTTTAAATTTGTATTTCCAGTCTAGCCTCTCTTCTAAATTCCAGTCTCGTACATTCACCTGCCTACTCAACAGGTCCATGTGCAGTTCTAAAAGGCATCTCAAGTTCAAATCCAAAGTTTTGGTCTCCCTGCCTGTGTCCTCTCCCTGAAACTTGCTTCTTCCCCACTCATTTAGCAAATGACATCACTATTTACCCAGTTACGCATTTCTCTGATGATTAATGATGTTGAGCACCTTTTCTTATGTTTACTGGACATTCATTTATCTTCCTTTGTTAAGTGTCTGTTTAAATATTTTGCTCATTTTTTAAAACTGGGTTGTATATCTTTTATTTATTGAGTTGTGGGGTTCTTTACATATTTTTGGGTACAAGTACTTTGTCAGATATATTTTTAATATTTTCTCCCAGCCAGTGGTTCACCTATTCACTTTCTTAACAAGGTCATTCAATGTGAAGTTTTTCCCTTTGATGAGATACAATTTATTGTTTTATTTATTTTTGCTGTTTGGTGTTTTCTGTGTCCCGTCTAAGAAACATCTGCCTACTCCAATGCTGCAGAGATAAAATCCAGTTGCCATTGTGTTGATTCCAGCTCATGGTTACCCCATACGAGTCAGGGTACAACTGTGCTCCATAGGGTTTTTGATGGCTTAATTTTCAAAAGCAGATCATCAGGCCTTTTTCTGAGGCACTTCTGGGTGGACTCAAGTCGCCAACATTTCAGTTAGCAGCTGAGCATGTTAACTGCTTATACCTCCCAAGGAGATAATCTCCTATATTTTCTTCCAGAACTTTTATAGCTTTATCAATCTGAAATTAATTTTTGTGTATGATGTGAAGTAGGGGTTGAGGTTCATTTTTCTCCATATGGGTATGTAAGCATAAATCTACCGAACGGGACTTCTGTAAAAGCTGTTGGTTTTCTGATACACAGGTACAGATTCAACTGGCATGTGGCCTGTAATATTTGCTCTTCCCACTTCTTCCTGCCTGGATTATCATCATGAGATACCATCTTGCACCCATAAAGAGAAAACTACACACTAAGGATAGCAAAACAGAAAGTTAAAAGGGGCCTGGGACTTTGAGGAATTGTGAAGCTGCCAACATCTGATCTGCCAACATCTGAAAATTTTGTCATGTAAGAAGACCAACCTGCTGATTTATTTCAGGCATTGTAGTTGTTGTTGTTGGGTGCCGTCAATTCAATTCTGACTCATAGCAACCCTACAGGACAGAGAAGAACTGCCCCATAGGATTTCGACCTGCCAACCTTTTAGTTAGCAGCCTGAGCTCTTAACCACTTCACTACTAGGGCTTCGTCATTGTAGTTAGACAAATACAATTTATGTATTGCTATTCATACGTCCAGTGGTTTTCCACCACTCTTGGAATAAAATCCAAGCTCATCACCGCAGCCTGCAGAGATCTATGTAAAATAATCCCCACCTATCTCCCGACCTGATCTCCTTCTGTCCCCTGCTGACTCCTCTCTAGCCATACTGGCATAGGGTATTTTAGAATCAGTCATGCTTATTCCTGCTTCAGATTATTTGTCTTTGCTGCTCCCTCTGCACAGAATGCTGGTTCTCCATAAGCTCCCATGGCTCGCT